CTTCTCTGCCATGTAGAAGGACAGGAGTCGGCACTTCCAAAAATAAGGGATTCTAGGTGCCCAGCTTCAAATACTTTAAAAGGGTCTGACTTCTCAAGAGCAGTTACTCTTCCAGGACCCTTGAGTGCATCAGAGTCTGTGTCCCAACTAAGCACAGAACCCCAAATTTGTAGTCCCCTCTGAAACTCTTTACCAGGCTCCCTGCTTATGTCCTACTGCAAATGCAAAGCAACAATTCAGCTGGGATTCATACAGTCTGAGTAAAAAGTGTACAAGAAGAGAGTATTAGCAAGGGACTTGAAGGTAGAAAGGGGATTGGGACTTTCTGGTCACATAAAGGAAGGCTGGAAAGTCAAGAGTGGCAAAGAGGGTGCAGAGGTGAGCCCAGAATGGTGGGGGTCATAGAGGCTGAGGCAGGAGTCAAGTTATATGCAACTCAGAAAGGAAGGACAAAAGTCTGGATTTATGAAGAAAGTGAAGAGGGAGCAGAAGAGAAAAATCTGTGGGAACTGGGGTGGAGACAAGGGCAGTAAATAGGAAGCCAGCATCTGCAGTGGGTTTTTGGAGAGTTCAGAGCAAGTGAGACAGAAGGAGAAAAAGCTGTCAGCTCAGAGATGGCCAAGGCATGGAGCAGAGGAGAAAAGGGGATCAAGATGGATGAATGGGAGAGCTTAGAAAGGTCTTTTGGGTGCAGGGGTGGAGATGAGATGGAAGACATAAGCTTGGAAGACAGAGGCAGGAAGGAGTAAGGAGAAGGGCTGGCAGTAAGGAACGTGTTCTCAGAAGGATCAGTAAGAAACAACTGAGACATTCAACTCACTGTGCGAAGTAGGGCACCGCCGTCCATTCCATCCAAACCGACTCAGCGTCATGTCAAAGTCAGAAATGACCTGGAGAACACAGGGACGATGGAGAAAAGGACAAAGTAAAAAAGCAACCAAGCACACTGCAGTTTTAGAGGCACATGGGCAAGGGCTGTTATCTGCAAAGACCTGAGTCTATGGACAGTGCAAAGCACTCACTACTGAAGGAGACCTCCTCCTCGCTAGAAGGCATAATCTGGCCAGAAGCTCTGAGGTTCTGCTCACAACTCTGAGAGAAATGCTCTCCTAACTAATGGATAGGCCCCTCCCCTCTCTG